TGCTGTGTTCATCCAGCCCTGCACCTTGTTGTCTCGGATTCTCCAGCATCTGCAGTTCCTACTATCTCCCATTCAGGAAGCTGTTCACTGACCTTCATTGAGTACTTGCTCGCTGACCTTATTTTAATGACCCTTGAATATGGAAAAGAATGGTCTCCTGTTGAACCCATTAAGCAGATATTTTGGTTGCACCAATAACTTCACACAACTGCTTCCTCATAGGGTGTAAGTTGATTTTGTAAGTGACAGTTGCTCTGTACCAGTAACAACCCAAAATAATAATGAGATGAGTGTGCTCGTGACACTACTTGAAGGAGGAATGCAACTAGAATACTGGAATTATTTCTTGCCCTTCTTCAAATAGTGTCATTGGTTTGTTAATTTCCAATGAGCTTGTCTGCAGGACCTTGTTTTAAGGAGGACATGTCCAACAGTGTAGCACTCCCCTCAGTACTACACCTGAGCATCAGCCTGACCTTCTGTGCTAGTGGACGAAAGTTAAGACTCCTGAGGACTAAGTTCTTGCTGTCAGAGGTAACAGGAGCTCACAGTAAGCTCAACACACTGACTTGTGAGTATGCAGTTCATGCTTTCTGTCCATTTATTATGATCCCCAGAAAATCATGGGCTGTGTACTCCTCACATGACACTATTGCTAACTGGCCACACTGCAGTGTGGGGCAAACATCTTGGTTGCAATCTTGTTCAATAATTGCACTTGTTTGCTGTTTTACAAAATAATAAGATGATTTGTTTGCTTCCAGGCTTGCCAGTATATTGTCTAAGCACATGAAAAAAGTACAGTGAACTAGTCAAAGAAATAAACAAAAAAAAATTGCACTGATCTGAGTGGCACAGGCATATTCAAATTCCAAATTTAGGTCAGGATTCTTTTTTTTAAAATATGAAGCAAACTTATAAAATCTTTGTTTATACATGAGCATTAGAAAGCTGGCTGAACTACCTGGTCTAACATGAAGAATGGTAGCTGGGTACAGTGGGCACATTCATGTCTTGCTGTTTGTCCATAACGACATCTCAGAATATCTCCATCCTTCTCATATATGGTAAGGTTATACTTGGCAGTGCAATTCTGAGGCACCCTGTTGAAACAGAGCAAAGAAATAAAAATGAAGTCTTTGGGCAGTAAATTAATCCAGTCAGCAGTATAATGAACACCATGGTGATGATAATTTTCTGTAACTGTTCACTCCTTTTTTTTAAATCGAGTGCATCATGCCAGTTAACCTCGCTTTATAAGGTATTGCTTCATGAGGTCTCCGAGTCCAGCTCTCTTTGCTTCCTTCTGTCTCTCTGCAAAAAAATACCGCAAGGGATACAAAGCTAGTATCTGGCATCACTGTTCAATGCCCATACTTGGGCAACTTTGTAGAATTGAGTAAAGCTCACTTCACACATCCACAATAAAAGGTTAACTATTTTTCAATTGCACTGAAGTTTATTGATTCAATTCTAGTTAAGTATGCACAATAGGCCAAATACTCAATGTTTGAGTATAACTTTTTGACCTGATAATCCTTCAAATAGCATCAGTTAGTGCAGACCCTTAATTTTTATGGAGTTTATTTATATCATGTAAAATGGTTTGCGAGGAAACTGTTTAATCGGCATTGATGGAAGAAAATTTTCCATTGCTTTTTTGTTTCTGAAGCAGAGTTGGCATTTAACGTGATAATGTAAGAAATATGAGCAGGAATTCCAGAGGTGAAGTACGACTGTACTGCCTTGGCATTAAAACAGCCTTTGACTAAGTGTGGCATCAAGGAACTCTAATCAAAGTCAATAGTAATCAGGGGGAAAATTCTCTACTCATTGGAGTTGAACCTAGCACAAAGGAAGGTAGTTGTGGCTGTTCGAGGCTAATCATCTCAGTCGCAGGACAGTTCTGCAGGAGTCTCTAACACCAGTGACCAAGATCCAACAATCTTCAATTGTTGCATAAATGACCTTCCTTCCATCATAAGTTCCAAAGTGGAGATGTTCATGGATAATTGTGTTGAGTGTAAATCACAATCCTCAGATAATAAATCTGTCTATACCCATACACAACAAGATCAACAACATTCAGGCTGGGTAAAGATTATTCATGCCAAACAAATACTAGGTATTGACTATGTCCAATACAAGAGAAACTAACCATTGCTCCTTGACATTCAGTGGCAATATCACTGTTGAATCCCACACCATCAACATCCTAGGGGTTGCCATTGACTGCTAAGTCAACTGATTTAGCCATACAAATATTGTTGGTACAACAGCAAGTCTAAAGCAGGGAATACCATAGTGATTAACCACCTCCCCACAACACCAAAGCCTGTTCACCACATACAAGGAACAAGTCAGGAGTGTGAAGAAATGTTCCCCAATTTCCTGTGTAAGTGTGGCTCCAAAAATAATCAACAAGTTCAATACCATTCAGAACAAAGCAGTCTATATGATTAGCACCTCAGCCATCAAATTCAATATTTACTCCCTTCAACTTTGGTACACAGTGGCACTGGAACACAGCAGCAACAGTGTGTACCATCTATGTGAGAGCTTTCTAAATTACTTTCCAGATGCTAGTAAAAGAAAACAAAATAGCAAATATCTCTACATTGTAACATTCAGTATACACTTCTTAATGTTTGTGCCTAATAGAACAATATAAAGTACATCATACAAATATGAAAAGCTATGTTTTCAAAATAATTTGTAAAAATGTTATTACATGTATGGATTCCATACAGTGTGGAAGCAGGCCATTCAGCCTATCGAGTCCACACAATGGCTGAAGAGCATCACAGCCAAACCCTGCATATCCCATGGATAATCCACCTAGCCTGCACAGCCCTGGACAATTTAGCACAGCCAATCCACCCAACCTGCACATTTTTGGACTGTGGGAAGAAACCAGGGCAACCAAAGGAAACCCACACAGACACAGGGAGAATGTGCAAACTCCACAACCAAGGCTGGAATTGAACCTGGGTCCCTGGCACTGTGAGGCTGCAGTGCTAATCACTGAGCTACCATGTACTCCTGTGGTTTTTAGCCAAGCTCTCCATGCACCCTGATGACAAAAGACTCAGTAAGGCTTCTCTCCCCACAACTCCTTCAATATAACCAGCTTCTCTACTCCCTGCATGCTGTAATCAGCCCCACTTCTACCACAGTCACTCCTCCTTCCTCATACCACTGCCATTACCATTCTCCAATTAGGCTAGTTGCTGATGCCCGTGAAGCAGAGTTTCTATCCCAGCTAAGTAGCTATATTTTTTCATCTTTTCATGGAATACAGGCATTGTTAGCAAGGCCAGCTTTTATTGCCCATCTTTAATTGCCCTTGAGAAGATGATAATGAGCTGTCCAGTTGAAATGTTGCAGTCCTTCTGGTGCATTGTTATGCACTGCTACAACACACACACACACACACACACACACACACACACACACACACACACACGTGCAGAAATCCTGTAAACTTTGAACACAGCACTCACTTTCCCAGCTTAGTAATATAACCTGTTTTTTACCCTTGCTCAGTCAGCGACTCATCTTGCTTCTGCCGCACCAAGCTGGTACACAAACATTTCAGGCCCACATAGCATTCATCACTAGAACTGCCTCCTCAGGTTAAAGGGTGTTTTGAAATTTCCACTCATCACTTTGCTGATGGCATCAACCCAGTGGTGTATAGGACTGTTCCATCAGCCTCGTTTCCATAGTTTTCATTGCTGCCTAGGGAGGAAAGGGAGGTTGCCACCCCAAATGCTCTATATGTGACTTCATGTGCAGTCACAACCCACAATTTTGCAACCTCTGCTCTTCAAGATGCATTGGAGCAACTTCAAGGTCCCTATGACAGCACCTTCCAAACCTGCTAGCTCCATAACCTAGAACAAAAACAACAGACACATTGAAACATCCACTTCCCAGTTTCTGTTGAGGCCACAGGTCATTCTGACTTGCAAATATACCATTGCTTCCTTAATGTCACGCAGACAAAATACTTGAACTTCCTTTTAGATACACCTGTACAGACACTAAGATGACAGAAATTCAAGAAAGGCACCTCACACTTCCTGCTCAAGGACAATTAGGGATGGACAATAAATGTTGGCCTTATGAATGACGTTCACACCCCCTGAACAAATTAAAAAGGAACTGGCCATTGGTTCTTTGAGCCTGCTCCACCATTTCATAAGACCATGGTTGATCATAGCTCAGCGAATCTTTTCCTCACTGTCCCCATATCCTTGATTCTTTCATATCCAAAAATCTATAGTTCTCAATCTCTCCTCATGCAGCAGCTAGGCTGAGTCTGCACCAGGTGGTGAGGGTACCGAGAAGAGGGAAAAACATACTTGACCACAACCTCACCAATCTGCCTGCTGCAGATGCACCTGTTCATGACAGCGTTAGCAAAAATCACCACTGAACAGTCCTTGTATACATAAAATCCTGTCTTCACGTTGAGAATATTCTCCATCAGGTTGTGTGGTACTGTTGTCAAACAAATCTAGCAATTCAAGACTAGACAGCCATGGGCTAGGTGGACTGTCATGAGCAGCAGAATTGTATTCTAACATAATCTGCAACCTTACGGCTTGGCATATCCCCCACTCTTATCATTATCATCAACACAGGGGATCAACACTGGCTCAATGAAGAGTACAGGAAGGTATGCCAGGAGTGGCACCAGGTATCCATAAAAATGAGGTGTCAATCCTGGTGAAGCTACAGCACATGAATACCAAATAGTATAACAGCAAGTGATTGTCAGGACTAAGCGATTCCATAACAAATGGATTAGATCCAAGATCTGCAGTCCAGCCACATCCACACGTGAATGGTAATGGACAATTGAAATTCAATGAAGGAACAAGTTCCACAAATATCCATATTCGCAACGATAGGGGAGCCCAACAAAAGATAAGTTTGAAGAATTTTTCAGCTTGAAATGCTAAGCAGATGATCAATTTCATCCTCTTCCAGTGGTCCCCAGTATCACAGATGCCAGTCTTCAGTAATTCAATTCACTCCACATGATATCAACAAATGGCTGGAAGCACTGGATACAGGTAGTTCTCCTATAATGCGATAGTTGCATTCTTGCGTGACCTTGCACTAAATATTGCGCTAAAGAGAATCGCCATAGATAATCACATTATAGGGAAATCGCAATGCCTGTGCAGCGGAAAATTCATGTTATCCAAACAGCATCCACTATTCAGCAATCGCATTACAGCCAATTTGTGTTAACGAAACACGCATTATAGCAGAAATACCTGTACTCCATAGGCTCTGATAACATTCCCACATAAGTAATTGAGACTTGTCCTTCAGAATGTCATGCCCCTAGTCAAGCTGTTCAAGTACAGCTACAACACTGGTATCTACCTAACAATGTGGAAAACTGCCCAGGTAGGTCCTTGACATAAAAGGGAGGACAAATCCAAACCAGCCAATTGCCGCCCCATCAGTCTACTCTCAAGCATCAGTGAACTGATGGAAGGTGTCATCAACAGTGCTATCAAGCAGCACGTGCTCAGCAATAACGTGCTCACTGTCACTCAGTTTGGGTTCTGCCAGGGCCACTCAGCTCCTGACTTCATTACAGCCTTGGTTCAAACATGGACTGAATTCCAGAGGTGAGGACAAAGTGATAGCCCTTGACATCAAGGCCGCATTCGACCGAATGTGGCTTAAAGAAGCCTTAGCAAAACTGAAGTCAATGATGGAAGAGCCTAGCACATCAGTGCAAAAGATAAAGCTGAAGCATTCGCAGCAATCTTCAGCCAGAAGTGCCAAGTGGATGATCCATCTTGGCATCCTCTAGTGGTCCTCAGCATTACAGATACCAGTCTTCAGCCAATTTGATTCAATCCACGTGATATCAAGAAATGGTTTGAGGCTGTGGACACTGCAAAGGCTATGGGCCCTGACAACATCCCGGCAATAGTATTGAAGACTTGTGCTCCAGAACTTGCTGCTTCCCTAGTCAAACTGTTCTAGTAAATTTACAACACTGGTATCTACTCGACAATTTGGAAAATTGCCCAAGTATGTCCTGTACGTAAAAAGCAGGACAAATCCAACCTGGACAATTACCGCCCCATCAGTCTACTCTCAATCATTAATAAAGTGATGGAAGTTGTCATCAACAGTGCTATCATGCAGCACCTGCTCAGAAATAAACTGCTCAGTGATGCCCAGTTTGGGTTCCGCCAGGGCCACTCAGCTCCTGATCTCATTACAGCTTTGGTTCTAACATGGACAAAAGAGCTGAATTCCAGAAGTGAGGTGAGAGTAACAGCTCTTGACATCAATGGTGCCTTCGACCAAACATGGCATCAAGGAGCCTTAGCAAAACTGGAATCAATGGGTATCAGGAAGCAAACTCTCCGCTGATTGGAATCATACCTGACACATGGGAAGATGATCATGGTTGTTAGAGGTGAATCATCTCAGCTCCAGGACATCTCTGCAGGAGTTCCTCAGGGTAGTGTCCTTGGCCCAACCATCTTCAGCTGCTTCATCAATGACCTTCGTTCCATCATGAGGTCAGAAGTGGGGATGTTCGCTGTTGATTGCACAATGTTCAGCACCATTCGCGACTCCTCAGATACTAAAGCAGTCAGTGTTCAAATGTAACAAGACCTGCGTAGAGATGGGCTGACAAGTGGCAAGTAACATTCGCCTTACGCAAATGACAGGCTATGACCATCACCAATAAGAGACAAACTAACCATTGCCCCTTGACATTCAATGGTGTTACTATCACTAAATCCCCCAGTATCAACATCCTGGGAGTTAACATTCATTGGAAACTCAACTGGACTCACAACATAAATGCAGTGGCTACAAAAGCAGGTCAAAGGCTAGACATACTGTGGCGAGTAACTCACTTCCTGACTCTGAAAGCCTGTCCACCATCTACAAGGTACAAGTCAGGAGAGTGATGGAATACTCCCCACTTGCCTGAATGAGTGCAGCCCCAACAACACTCAAGAAGCTTGACACCATCCAGGACAAAGCAGCCCACTTGATTGGCACTGTATCCATGGACAGCCCCTCCCTCCATCACCAATGCTCAGTGTGCACTATCCACAAGATGCACTGCAGAAATTCACCAAAGATCCTCAGACAACACCTTCTGAAACCACAACCATTTCCATCTAGAAGGACAAAGGCAGCATGTACTTGGGAACATCACCAACTTCAAGTTTCCCGCCAAGTCACTCACCATCCTGACTTGAAAATATATCACTGTTTCTTCACTGTTGCTGGATCAAAATCCTGAAATTCCTCCTAATGGAATTGTGGGTGAACCCACAGCAGGAGGACTGTAGCGGTTTGAGAAAGCAGCTCACCACCACCTTCTCAAGGGCAACTAGGGGCGGGCAATGAATATTGGTCAGCCAGGGACACCCACAAAATGAATTTAAACAAGTAGGAATCAGGAGGAAAACTCTCCACTAGTTAGAGTCATATCTGGCACAAAGCAAGATATTTGTGGTTGTTTTAGGCCAGTCATCTCAGCTCCAGGACAACTCTGCATGTAGAGTCCTAGGCCCAACCATTTTCAGCTGCTTCATCAATAACCTTCCCTCCATCATAAGGTCAGCAATGAAGGTATTCACTGATGATTGCACATTGTTCAGCACCATTCATGACTCCTCAGATACTGAAGCAGCCCATGCTCAAATGCAACGAGATCTGGACAATATCCAGGCTTAGGCTGACAAGTGGCAAGTTATATTCAGACCACAGAATGCCAGAAAATGACCATCTCCAATAAAAGACAATCCAACCACCACATCTTGACATTCAATGGTGTTACCACCACTGAATCCCCCACTTGCAACATCCTAATGTTACTATTGACCAGAAACGAAACTGGACTAACCATATAAATACAGTGGCTATGAGACCAGGTCAGAGACTAAGAATCCCTGCAGAGAATGCCTCTCCTCCTGGATCCCCAAAGCTTGTCCATTATTTATAAGGCACAAGCCAGGAGTGTGATGCAATCCTCCCCACTTGCAAGGATGGGTGTATTTCCAACAACACTCAAGATACTTGATATCTTCTAGGACAAAGCAGCCTGCTCAATTGGCATTACATCTACAACATGCATTACTACTACTAATGCACAGTAGCAGCAGTGTGTACAATGTACAAGATGAACAAGATGCAGAAATTCACAAATGCTTATTAGATAGCATCTTCCAAACCCGCAACAACTACTATCTAGAAGGACGTGGCAGCTGACGGATAGGAACACTATTAACGGCAAGTGCTCTTCCAAGTCACTCACCGACTAGACTTGGAAATATGTCACCATTCCTGCAGTGCCACTAGGTCAAAATCCTGTAACTCCCTCCTTAACAGCATTGTGAGTCAACCTAGTCCACAAAATTGTCTATAGTGGTTCAAAAAGTAGTTCACCACCACCTTCTCAAAGGAAAACTATGGCTGGGCAATAAATACTGGCCCAACTACTGATTCCCACATCAAATGAATGAATAATTGAAAACAAAATCAACCTTGAACTCAGGAATCCATTTATTAAAATATATTAAAAATTACAGTCCCTTTAAGGCAATTAAGCCTTTTCTAAAGTATGAAGATCAAAACTTTCCACATTATTCCAGGTATTATTGCACCAAGGCTCTTTATAATCGTAGTAAACTTCTTTCAGCTTTTACAGTAACCTTCTTTAAAGTAAAGGATAAAATTAGTTTGCTTTCCTAATTGCTTTCTCTATCTGCATTTTTACTTCCCGTGATTCATATATGCAAATCCATATCCCTATGATAACGAAGCCTCTCTCTGAACACCAATTTTACTGTCTCTTAGTTAAAGGTGACTAAAATACTTAATGCTCTTGTAGATAAAGACACCTGTAATACTGTATAGGTTTTACACTGTAATAGTTCACTTTAATTCTAACAATTTAGACCAGAACATTAATGAGCAGTCTTTGCTGCATTAACTGATCACAGTCATGGGAGATGGTGGTTATATTGGTAATGTCACTCACCTAGAAATCTAAACATAATGCTCTGAGCGTGTAGGTACAAATCATACTGTAGTAGCTGCAGGGAGTTTAAACTCAGTTAAGGAGCAATCTTTGGGTAAGAACTAGTCTTAATAACAGTGACCATAACTATCATCTATTGCTGTCACATATGGATCACTAATTTATTTTAGAGAAGAAAATCTGCCACATTTGATCTACATATGACTCGAAATCCACAACAATGTGGTTGACTCTTTGCTGCCCTCGGAAATGACCTTGTAATCTATTCAGTCCAGAGGTAGTTAGGGATTGGCAACAAATGCTGACCCTGTCAGTGATGTCCACATTTCTTGGAAGAATATAAGAATGTCTGTCACCATGTAGGTTGCTAGGAGGGGAGAAAATTCCTGATTGCTATCAATTTATTTTCTGAAAAGAAGAGTGAAATCAAGCTTAGGCTGTGATGATATTTCCTATTAAGTAATATTCCAGGGTTTATTGTCTTGGATTGTATGTGATATTTGGAAAAGCCACCTAAGAAGTCAGAATAAACATCAAGACATTAAATGGGGTGACAAAAATGAACTTGTCTGACTGCTCCACCCCGTAACATTTAATGTTACATGAGAAACCAGTAGCTCCTACTTTGTTTCACTATTTTACCTTAAGACGGGTAGTAGAGGTGGTTGAGGAGGTGCATTGATTGCTACATTGTCTGAGCGATTTCTCAAATCTGCCAATAAGGAGAATGTAAACGGAAGAGTTTCTGCTTCCCTTTGAGATCCCACTAATGGTGACCAACAACAACCAGATGGGCTGAAAAAAAAACATGACATTAAATAATAAAAATCCTGGTGACATTCCTTTAGCCCACTGAATATCACACTGGATTCTAAAATATAAGATGTCAAAGTTGAGTTTGGGTCTGCCCATCACTTTTGTTTTTGAAACGTAAATTTTTCAGTAGCAGCATAATCACTTCATTTGATAGGTTCTTATTTGTGCTTCAGAGAGTTAAACTGATTGTTCCTTCAATCTTCTGCCTGACTGAGGTTGGAAAGTGGCAGAAAATGAGGAAACCCATTCTCATTTTACCTCTCCACGCTATGGGCTTTGTGGAAAAGAGACTCAGTAGATTCATGTCGGGAATTAGGAAAGAAGGAAGCATGCAACTAGGAGGTAGCAGCACATTTAATCTAACTGTTTCTCTTGGTTATGACTAATACTCCCTTTAGTATTGGAATGAGAAAAAGAATGGACTTACCTTATGTAAAACAGACTTGTGTTGTTGTGGTGGAATATAATCTCTCCATCGAGCAAACACCAGGTCGCAATGTGGTTGTTGTCTCCCACTATTTGCGTTCTCGATTTAGTGCAATTTAAAGCAACACAAATTCGATCTAGGCTCTGGGAGCATGGAAGGCTGATTCCTCTGTAATACACATGCACCTGACATGTGCATTTAAAGAGTCAATAAGCTACACATATTATATGTACTTCATATAGAACAGCTAGTATTGCTGTGTTAACACAGCTGATCAATAAAAATCAGTACCTGTATTGTGTCACCAACCAATGAAGTTTCCAAACCAAAGGAGGCACCAAAATAGGAGAAGGAAGTAAAACAGCAGCCTTGCAGGAGAGCAGCACTCATTGCCAGCAACCACAACTGAAGCCTCATTTCTGTTCATAGATTGTCAATAAATTCAAAATAAGACAAAACTGGGATACTTTAGTGTGCTAGAAGGTTCCCTGATACACTCTAGCATTGTCTAGAGAGTTGCAAGCAGAAAGATGAAAGTCGCCCATGAAATATAGCTAAAAGCCAGAAATGATGTGGAAGAGATCTGGATGTTTAATATATAATTCATTTTGAAGCACTGATTGGTTTGTTACTTCAACTGCTCACTCAGATTGGTGAATACAAATTTCAGGAAGGAATTTTATCTATTTATCTTTCGTGTAGCTGCCAAGATTCAACCTCGTGATTTTTGCTAATGCATGTAAGCCCAATTCTGTCACACATTTTAACTGTCTGAGAGCTGTATCCCCTTTCAGCTTCTCAAATCTATAAAGTTTCTTCTCTTGTTCATGTCCACATTTAAACAGATTGAGTTGAATCGTGCATTGATAGCTTCAAATCAGCTCAGTGCTTTTGGTAAAGCTTATGTCTTTAGTACTGTTTATCTCTTATGCACGCACTAGATCTCGTAAAGTAATAAGATCAGCTGTACACTTGTAAGTAAACATTAACAGCTTTATTAATACAACTATATACAGTGGTTTGTAAGAAAGGTCTTCTTCTGGAACCCTATAGGTTCAGGCGTTTGTTCCATGTGATCCAATGTCACTATATCATAATTCCTTACACACATGCTCAGTAGCTATTTCTAAAGGTCTAGTTAACCATTTGCTCCACAGTACCACCCCAATTTCTTTAAGGTATCCCTTTTAACCACTCGCATTTAACCATGAACATTGAACTCTCTTTACTCAATTTCATATACCATGTCCTAAATCCAACAAGTCTCTTTGCTTGAGATAATAATCTCTGACAGCACTTTCAGCTTTCTTGAAGGATAAATAAAATGCATTGGGTATCTCTTGCCAATATTTGCAAGGGCGAGCATAGGAATGGAATGGGATGACAGATTTTCTTCAAACAACAACATTTCCAGAACTCCTTCAGAAAGTAGAAGTTCTTCATAATCATCGATGGAGCAACAGACTGCTGGACCAGGATCTCTATGAAGTTCTGGCACAGCAGTGTGGTCTGCTAGCAGGATGACAAATTAGTCTACATCCCATGTCAAAAGTTCATCCTTATTTTGCCAATGATCTCTATATTGACAAAGGTTTCCATCTCCATGATTGTCCTTTGCGAACTAAAACAGAGATTTTTGTTTCCTCTCACAGGAATATCTTTTGCAATCACAAGAATGTCACCCACTTATTGTAGCAGATATTTTTCCTCAGCTGATAGCTCACAATGATGTCAGAACTCTGAATATTTAATTGACAAAGAGACATTTTCCTCCATCAAGGTACCTTTTTGCTTTGTCAATTGTACAAGAACATTGCCTGACCTTACACAGATTTTTTTGTAAATCTTCTGGAAGCTTCCCTTTTTCAGTTTCCAAAGCTTAATTGCATTACATGACATGAATTCTTTGAGGATGTGACAAAACACATTGATGAACGCAGAACAGTGAATGTGGTGTATATGGATTTTAGGAAGGCATTTGATAAAGTTCCCCATGGTAGGCTCATTCAGGAAGTAAAGAGGCATGGGATTCAGGGAAATTTGGCTGTCTGGATACAAAACTGGCTGTTCAATAGAAGACAGAGGGTGGTAGTAGATGAAAAATATTCAGCCTGGAGCTGGGTGACCAATGGTGTTCTGCAGGGATCTGTTCTGGGACCTCTACTCTTTGTGATCTTTATAAATGATTTGAATGAGAAAGTAGAAGGGTGGGTTAGTAAGTTTGCCGATAACATGATGGTTGGTGGAGTTGTGGACAGCTGTTGTAGGTTGCAACGGGACATAATTTTAAGATGTTTGGAGGACGCCATAGGGGAGATGTCAGAGGTAGGTTCTTTACACAGAGAGTGGTGTGTGTGTGGATGGCGCTGCTGGCAGTGGTAGTGGAGTCAGATACTTTAGAGACTTTTAAGCGACTCTTGGATAGGCACATGGAGGATCGTAAAACGCAGGGTAGTTTGATCTTAGTAGGATAATAGGTCGGCACAACATTGTGGGCCGAAGGGCCCGTACTGTACTGTTCTATGACTGCTAATAGCTTGACTTTTAGGAGCAGGGGTCTGGTTGAGACTGCATCAATTCTTGTTTTACTTTGAAACGTTCTACTTTAAACTCCACCAAGGCATAGTTGGACTACAGTTTGGTCCTTCTTTTCACTGAAAAATGCTTTGCGTGCTTATAGATTGTTGAAGGGTCTCAATTGTAGAACTGAGATAGCTTTTCATAAGTTAACAATGTTTGAACATTGAAGTTTTGTATGTAAGCATAACCTTGTTTCAATTGATTTTTATTAGCTACTTGCCATTGTTGAATTGTTCCGAAGAATGTTTCTTTGTCCACAATGGCATCTACCGTTTGGATGCTTGCACAGTGTGGTGATCTGTTTTGAAACTTTCTTGCTGCCAGTTGAAATATCCTATTGCTGTTTCAGCAAACAAACTAAAAAGAGCTTTTCTTGTGGCATAGATGGAATTGATGGGCAGGGTTGTTGCAGAGGTGGATCTTATCCATTAAACTGTGGACAAGGACCAGTGGTGGGAGTGGCACCTCCCTACCCTTGTGGCTATTTTCTACCCAGGACATTAGTAGCCTATAGATTACCAAAGTGGACTGAGTCAGAGTCAATGAGCATAACTCAGGGATGTTATCTGACCCCTTTTAAGAAAAAAAGTTGAACTTTAAAAGTTCTCTGGAGGAGGTGATAGCCTACTGGTATTATTGTGAGACTATTAATTCACAAACTCGGCTAACATTCTGGGGACCTGGGTTTGAATCCCAGAACAGCAGAGGGTGGAATTTGAATTCATTAAAAAAAAAAAATTAAGAATCTATTGATGGCCATAAAACCTTTGCTGATTATCAGAAAAACCCAGCTTGCTCACTAATGTCCTTCAGGGAAGGAAATCTGCCACAGCTGGTCTGGCCTACACGTCTCGAGAGCCATAGCAATGTTGATTGCTCTCAAATGCCCTCTGAAATGGCCTACGAAGCCATTCAGTTGTACCAATCGTTACAAAGTCTCAACAAGGAAACGAAACCAGACAAACCACCTGGCATCAACCGAGGCACTAGAAAGACAGCAGCAAAAACAGCTCTGTCGACCCTGTCAATCTGGGGCCTAGTGCTAAATTGGGAGAGCTGTCTCACAGCCTAGTCAAGCAACAGCCCGACATGATCATACTCATGGAAACACACCTTAAAGACATTGTCCCATACACTACCACCATCACCATCGCTAGCTATGTCCTGCAAGGAAGCTGCAGGAAAGGTGGCTGTACAGTTAACTTGGAGTTGCCCTCAGAGTCCTTAACATTGACTCTGAACCCACTAAGTCTTATGGCTTCAGGTTAAACAATAAGGAAACCTCCTGCTGATTAATACATACCATCTTCCCTCAGCTGATGAATCAGTACTCCTCCATGTTGAGCAACACTTGGAAGAAGCACTGAGGGTGGTAAAACATACTCTGGCTGGGAGATTTCAACGCTCAACACCAAGAGTAGCTCGGCAGCAGCACTGCTGATCGAGCCCTAAATATTTTACATCTTCTTCAATGCTGCTTTACTGTTTAAAAAACCAGAAAGCCAAATTTTACCAGTTGCTTGCATGGAGATATGGAAGCGGGACAACAAGCACAATCAGAAATAAAGGCTTTGAGCTCATTTTGCTGATGAGCTCCTTCCTCCACTTACTTTTCCCAGGGCCCTCTGGGTCCAGTGCTGGTAAACTATACATTCAGAGGAGGATGCAAATTAAGGCGGTTGAGTGATTACTGGCAAGTTTTATACCACACGGTAATTTTGCATCTGAGAGGAACTGACATCAACAAGAGAGGTTGGAGCTGCATTAGAACTGAAGAGGTTTTAATGGTTACCAGCTGAAAATAGGGGGAATACTGTCTTCTCATGCTATCTCACTTCCAAAAAGGACTTGACCAATTAAAACTCTTAAATGAACAGCTTACAGAAAAAGACACATACTATTTGCCATTTATCTCATTTTGTAGGTTTGCTGCTGCATTGATGAACTATTCCAAAAAGCACAGGAATATAGTAATACATGAATTGTCATGTTTCTATATTGGAGAAGTGGGCAGCAGGCCAAGATTGAATAACAGATATGAAGATGGATTAATCTTTGGATTTTGAGTAAACACATTTTAAGATCAACATGTGCTTATGGAAAAAATGACTCTCCGGCCATTAAATGAAAAGGATGTAAACAATGTTTCACTAGATTAGACATGGACTGTGGAAACACTGAACTAAGTGGCAATTTTTCAATCTGTACTCACTCATGCTAGCTTTTGGCCTGAAGATAATAACATTTCTAAAGAAAACATATGGATGTTAAATCTGTTGATATTTACAAGAAATGGATAATCACTGATTTGCTAGACAGGAAAGGGATACTGAAGATAGGTAAACCTGCACATCTCTTCTTAGCTCTTAACTAACTTCAAAGTCCGATCTGAACCCATCTGTGTGGAGAAATTGGTAAAAGTCCATTATTGATCGGAATTCTTTTGACAGTTTATTGTATCACGGAAGAGGGATTGTTCCACGTAACCTACAAAGAGGCAGGCGTAGCTTGGGCCCATGCGGGTACCCATGGCTACCCCCTTTGTCTGTAGGAAGTGGGAGGAATTGAAAGAGAAGTTGTTGAGTGTGAGGACGAGTTCGGCTAAGCGGATGAGGGTATCAGTGGAGGGGGACTGGTCGGGCCTGCGGGACAGGAAGAAGCGGAGGGCCTTAAGGCCATCTGCATGGGGAATGCAGGTGTAGAGGGACTGGACGTCCATGGTAAAGATGAGGTGTTGGGGACCGGGGAATTGGAAGTTCTGGAGGAGGTGGAGGGCGTGGGTGGTGTCACGGACATAGGTAGGGAGTTCCTAGACCAAGGGGGAGAAAATGGAGTCTAGATAGTTGGAGATCAGTTCGGTGGGGCAGGAGCAGGCGGAGACAATGGGTCGACCAGGGCATTCAGGTTTGTGGATTTTGGGAAGGAGATAGAAGCGGGCAGTGTGAGGTTGGGGAACGATGAGGTTGGAGGCCGTGAGTGAAACATCACTCACTGTACTTTGTCTGGAACA